TTCCTTCCTTCCTTCCTTCCTTCCTTCCTTCCTTCCTTTTCCTTCCTTGCTTCCTTGCTTCCTTGCTTCCTTCCTTCCTTGCTTCCTTGCTTCCTTGCTTCCTTCCTTCCTTCCTTCCTTCCAACACATCTCCGTCGACCACTCAGTCTCGCTCCCCCGCGGCGAGTGCAACTAAACGAGAACCCAAGCATCGGAGATGCTTTTGGGAAAAAAAAACATCAAATACTGATTTCATCTGATTTCATGGTGATGGTTTTCCATGGTTTACCACTTGGTATCTTCCATGGTTTGTGTCCAATCCCCAGCCACAACCGCCCAGGTTGAACCCAGATGGTGTGGCCGCAGGTCGAACAAGGACCAATTTGGAGTCCGTGGACCTTAATAGGTCCGCCTTCGTTGGAAGATTTGGGATTTTAACCACCAGAAATGGGGATTTGAACCATTGGAAATGGTGATTTCATGAGATAATGGATAGTTTCCATGGGACCAACTCTCTTTGTGATATATAGTTATGTTTGGAAAATGAGGGATGATAAAAACCCCGCTTTGCGGCTGTTTTAATGGGCATGCATGGCATGCATGATCTTGATCAGTGCATGATCTTGGTTGACGATGGCTTGTTAGACAGTTTCAGTTGCCATCATCTATCATCAACAAGATTCTTCCCCCTAAGGCAACCCCTCCAGAAACCATGGTTTAGTACGGGATTTTCACATGTTTATGACTATCATGACCATATCATGGGGGTGTTTCGTATGATGGGATGGGATAATCATGATGATCAGCCATGACATGTGAGGCATCACCATGATGATGCAGCAGCAGAGACCAAGGGTCTTCGAGCAGCTCTACAGGCCGAAATATGAGGAAAATGTTGCAAAATTCAGGAGAAACCCTGCAAAAAGATCTTGAGATAATTTTTGCTGGCAATTCTTGTTGAAGTTGGAGACCCGAAAAACGTACCAGTTGATATGATTTTGACAGGAAACACATGGCGTTGGGAGCACATCATTTTGCAAAAGAAAGATGCACCAACAGGATGCAACCATCAGGTGACGTCCAGGCGAAAAAAAAAACAGGCGACTGCCACAAAACTCAGTGTATCATCATCCCCATGTTTGCCTCAAAACACATACTGATCATACTGCAACAGATCAAAAAACCTGGCTGGAAAATTCCCCAGTTCGATGAGTTTCCCAGCCCAGCGAAGTTCAGGCAGAGAGTCAGAGGGGAGAGCTCTTGGCCTTCATTGACATCCACAGCCATTCCAAGAAACTTGGCCAATGGACATGTCAGGACATGTCAGGATAGCCCAAAAAAAATGTTCCCATCCTTCAACGCCAATGGAACTTCATCTATGGTGCTTAGAGATGCTTAGAGTATAGCTATTCGTTCTCCCATTGGTGGATGATTCTGTATAAAAAACCTCGGGTAACGGTGGACGTGTCTAGCTTTGAACGACTGAACAGGAGAAGTTAAATGATGGGATTTTGGATGTTGGATTGCCCAAGTTGAGGCAGCTTAGATTACTTTGATACATTTGGACCTGTGGCAAATGATCCACTTCCTGGTTCAAGATGATTCAAGAAAGTCCCCGGAAAGCCGGAAAAGCTATTCCCCAAGAAAATGAGAACATCACCTGATATCATCATAAGCCAAAAATGCTGGCGAATATATCCTGACAAACCACACAAAAATCCGCCAAAAATGGTCAGTTGCTCCAAAGGCGTCGTGGGATTTTTGCCATCGCCAACGGCAACGATGCGGATCGCTTGGTGTCTTTGTTGGCCAACAGGACAGCCTGGAAAGCTGGTGTCACTACCCTCTGGTCAGACTCAGTTTGCGAACCCGAAAATCACCGTTTTGAAGAGGTAAATCATCTATAGATGGGTCATGTTCCATAGCTATGTTAAATTACCAGAGGGTAATCATCCCCAAATGGCCAAGCTATTCAGCTTTATGAGTTGTTGTGATTTATTCAGAACGATGGCTGTGATGTTGGGGGTTAGACGACCTCTAATGTGGCAAACCCAATGCCATAGACCTGAAAATGGGCGATGGTTTGTTGGGTTTATCATATCAATAATGATGAGAAAATCTCATGTTTGTGAGGAAGGCATCACGAAATGGAGATTGTTGAAGATTTTCCACGAGCAAGATCTGGACTAGACGCCCTCTGGTTGCTGGGTTCAATGTGCTTTAATGTTCAAACATGTTTGGGAGGACTGAATCATGATTGACGATCATATGTTTCAAGCGGATTCAAGTCACCCACCAAGTCAAATAATGATGGGACATACTTCTGGTCATTGGAAATTCATCACTGGCTATTTTTTTGATGAGAACATCATTCAGCACAGAATTTTTCGAAGTTCTCATCCCTGTCTCCCAATAATGTGGCTTTGCTATGTCAATGGCATCCCCAAAATATCCATAAGTTGTCCTCATGTCATGTGTCGCAGGACCCCTTTGCTGGATCTCCAGGGCACCAACCGTACCGAGACACGACCTCAAGATGTCTTGACCTCGGAGAAATCCAGGTTGGAAGGTCCCCCAATGTTTTTTTCCCATGTCATCCCCTGAGGTGGGCGTGGGCCGAGTGGCGGCAGCTGCACAGGGCTACAAATACAGTAGAAATCTCAGATTTTCCGCTGCTGATGGATTATCATGGATTATCATCATTTTCCCTATAAAAAATGGTGGTTGTGATGGTTTTTTTGGCGATTTTGTAAAGACATACCAGACCCAATGGTTGACGATCTGGATTCCAAATCCCTGATTCCGAAAAGTCCATTTACCCTCTGGTTATGACTAACATAGCCATGGTATAGATGGCCCATAGAAATAGATGATTTTCCCAGCTATAAACTTTCATTTATGGTTGGGATTTTCCATGGCTATGTTAGTCATAACCAGATGGTATCCATGATTAACATAGCCATGATTATGGAAAATCATCTGTAAATCCATGATTGATGGTGGATTTAGCCAACCTTTTGCAGTCCATTTGCTGCTTTGTAACTGGTCATGAAGCAGTTTCTACGGGATGACAGGTTTGACCATTGAATCTTCTCTTTGTGTCCGGTGCCCAGTGGAAAAAATGGGCCAATTTGCTTCAGCACCGAGCTGGGTTGAACGATTTAGAAATTGGGAAGTAAATGAAAAATTGAGAAAAAAGTGAGAAATCACTAGAAATCCATGATGAAACTTCTGCCACTCCATTTTGTTATTTATATTTCGAAGTTCGAAACCCAGTATTGTTCAGGTGCATGTCGTGTCCACGTGTGTTGGGTTGATATCACCAAGAATTTGCTGCTAGTTAAGCCCTACCATGTTCCACGCTTACGTTTGAGGTAATGGCTGACAGTCCCATTCCGGACCTGATATCCAGAATGGGATTTTACATACCTAATTGATAGTCCGATTCCACAACAGAATCCCAACATGAAATGATGTGAAGTTAGATCATATCATTATGATACAAGCATATGTGTAAAATCATCACATGGTACACAATATATATAATATAATATATATATATACATATATATATATACATATATATATAATACATATATATATATATAATACATATATATATAATACATATATATATAATACATATATATATATATAATACATATATATATATATATATCATTTTATGTATGCCCTGTGGTTTTTTTTCGCTATGGAAAATCCAGCATCAAAAGTGGTGAAATCTTCGCCACCCCATGACCTGAGCCACCGCCTAGCCACCGCCTAGGCTAGACATTTGGCCATCGGAGGTGAACATCTTCTTTTACAGGACGGCGGTGTCAAACTGGGACCATTTGTTGGCATTTTTTGGACCCATCACTGACCTGGGTAGTGGGTTTTTTCCTAGGTTTTTGGGATAGTTTTTAATGTTAAGTCATATTTAACATGAAGTTATTGTTATACATATAGCTAATATTTAACATATATATATATATAACAATATGTCGCTTTTGTTGATAAATAGTTCATCCAAAAGGGGAGCTAATGAGTTTCTGCCATTTGGCTAGTAGCAAGGAACCCATCAAGTGAGATTTTCCCGGAATTGGTGGCCCATCTGCCAATGTTCCGAAAAAGAGAAAAAGAAATAAAACACCAACATTGGGAAAAACAATATTGGGAACAAGCATGGATTCCCATCTGCCAATGTTTCCATTGGATGCAACTGTTTTTCCCAATATGCAATGGAGTCAATGTCATGCCAACATTGGGGAAAACAGTTACATGCCAACATGACATCATTTTTCAATCAGAGTCCCAAACAGAGGATTTGGTGTTTTTTGCCGGTGCAATCTCCATGTTGAAACAAAATGTGTCTAGGACCTCGCCAGTGTTGGCCGCGCAATTTGCCGCAGCCTCAGGGTTTTTGATGCGTGAATTTATGGTGTCCGGAACTGTGAATTTGGGGTCATTGATGAAAATCATACCCTCTGGTAAATAAACATAGACCCTGAAAATCACCAGTTGTTAATGGAAACTAATCACTAATCTTCCAATTCCTATCTGGCAGGGTCCATGTTAATTTACCAGGGGGTAAATCATGAGCTTTGAAACTACTGAACTCCTCCAAATCCAGGATTTGGGATCAAACTGGGGTGTTTCTTGTGGCCCCTATCTTTGGAAAATCTGAAAAATCATGGAAAAACCCATGGTTTGACCCGGCGAATTTCCGGAGGCTTTGCAGTGACAGATCTTCTTTACCCTGAAAATGAGCCAGTTGAGGTGCCGTCTGAAAAAGCCTGAGCGTACCACAATGGTTGGTGCTTGTTTGTATCGTATATCATATATTATATTACATTATATTATATTATAATTTGAATTATATTTATAATTATAACTATATATAGATAACACAATATCAGCACATAATATAGATGTATGGCATATTCAATGATGTGTGTGTGTCCATATCTTTTGCTGTGTTGCTGGACGTGGGCATTGCACCGGCAGGTCATTTGCGCTAAAGGCGATGATGTGGGGTCCTCAGAGGTATTCCTTTCCATCGGGTTGCCGAAAAAAACTGTGCCCACCTGGCTGGGAAGAATTGCCACTGAAGGGCCCCCCATTACTATAACCAGTACCAATGAAAGTAAAAAGAACAGAATATGGACATGATCTGGTCACATGATTACTAGTGTGTTAATATGTGTTCAGAAGATACTATTTGTTAATGATGTTAACATACTGGCTATTACAATAATACCATAATAACCATACTATAATTACATAACATAATAGTGGTTATAACCATATTATAGTGTTATATAATTATAGTGTTATAACCACTATTATGTCATACTATAATTACATTACCATATAACTATTATAACCATACTATATAATATGTGTTTTCTTATTCATCGTGTTTTCCATAAGATACCATGAATCTCAGATATTTCAGGCTGCCCGCCTCCAAGGATCTCGATGAAGATGCAGATGCGGCTGAGGATGAAGGCACCGCGTGACCTTTTTTAAAGAGCTGTGTTTTGCCGTTGGTTTAGCCATGGTTGTATACCCAACTTGGAGGTGCATATGATATGTATATTATATATATATTATTATATATATTATAATATATATATTATATTATATATATATTATAATATATATATATATCATATATATATATATCATATATGATATGCTATATATATATGTATATTAACCATAGTTATAGGGTGGTACATCATGTTAGTTATCCCAACCTATGGAGGTTTATTACCATGGTTACCATCAACTGCACCCCCAAGAATATGAAATATGGGATATATCCAGTGAAATATGGGATCATAGCTACACTCGAATTGGCTCTGAACATCCATACATCCCAGCTATTTTCATGTGATAGAACCAGGGATTGGGACCAAACACCAGTTTCGGAGTTTCGGAGTCGTCCTCCAAAATTGGGCAGGTTTTCGAGTCTTCACGCCAGAGTGACGCTGCGTTTCGGGTCAGCCATATGGAAAGCACCTGGCTGTTCGGCAAGTCATACGACTTGTTTTTTTCCTGTGCTACGTTAGGCTTCAAGGAGCATCCAGTTGAAGGCATCCTGATGCGAAAAAACAGCATTTTCATGATTCTTCATGGCATTTTTGTTGAAGAGTTTTTTGTTGGTGTCTCTGTGAATAATGAATTTTGCAAGTTCTTCATATATTTGGTTGATCTTGCTTGATCATTTGGTGCTGAAAACAGCTGCAGTGACGTGTCACCATCCCGGGGACGCGTAAAAACCATGAGCTGCAAAGTGAAACGCTGGCGAACTCGGTGCTTTTCAGCAATAAGATAACGATGTGTTTGTTTAACTAGATGGGAATAGACCTGATGACCTGACCTATCCAAATTAAACTGGTGGTGGTTATGAAATGACAGAACTAGACTTGGATGAGTGTCCTTGGAATCAGGCCATTGAGCCGAGGTTTTGCCATGCCAAAAATGCCGAGATTTCGTAAAAATCCATGCAAGTACTAGCAATAAAGAGGGACAGAACCAACAACAATTGGATTCTGGTTGGTTTCGGGGGTATGAGTTTTACTGCTGCTTTTCAGCATGACATGGAACAAAGCCCGTTTTTTTGATCTTTTTTTTGACTCTCTCTTCGAAATGGTCCCGTTTTCAAAAAACAGCACGGTGGCTCACAGCAGAACAAGGTAAAAGGAAGCTGAATGGATGCCCAGCACCATAGCCCTATTTTAGGAAACCACCATATGATATATGGATAAGTATATGTAATGTGTATATAATATTGTGTATATATATATTAGCTATATGGATATCATATGATATATTTTGGATATCATATAGATATATTATAGTTTTAGCTCCATCAGTGAATCAGAGTACAGCCAGAGTAAGATCCCTTGCCGTTGCGATGACTTCGAGGCCGGTCCTTGGTCAATCAATTTGCTCCCCCCGTTGAGATCGGCCGCGTCCCCATAGGCAGCCTGACGGCATATGACAGGTGCCCGGGCTGCCCGGGAGGGTAAAGCGCCAAATTTCAGGAGATTTTCATGGTATTTTCATGGTAAATAAACAGTTGGACCCTGAAAATCACCCATTTTTCCTGGAAACTAGGCTTCCAAGCCCGATGACTGCCAGGGTCTATGTTAATTACCAGATGGTATTTTCATGGATTTTTATGGTCTTTCAGGTTGGATTTCAATGGGATTCTAATGATCGGTTTCTCTGGGTTTCTCTGGCAAAATTCGAAGCCAGCTCAACCAATCTTGGATCAGCTGAGAATCACTGGAATCCACAGTAGCTGAAAATGAGGTAGCACCAGTAAAAATCGATGGCTAACCGTAGTTTTCCCGTGTAAATTCCCATGAAAATTGTCATAAATTGAGGCTCCAAAGCTCTCTTTTTCTGCCTTTGGAGCAGATGTCATGGCAGGTGGACTGCCGGGTGGAATGCCGCCGGACCTGAACTTCTTTGCCACGGGAGATTTGAGTGTTCAGCTGAAAGATCTGGAGAAAAGCCTGGGAGCCCACAGGCTTCCATCAGTTCACAGTGAGAAAATGAAAGAGTTGGTTTCAATTGATTTCAACAAATCAACAAAGATTAAGACTGATTAAGACTGATTAAGACTGATTAAGACTCCAAGATTTTAAGATTTAGTAAGAAGTAGTGAGAACACATCCACGGATGAAGTTGTTTTGTGTTCCTCTATGATGCCACACGTTTCGCCCCAGGCGAGCAACCTCCAGATCGCTGTGTGGGTTTAGGGCAAGGGGTTGGCGGCAACCTGGCCAGGACAGCAAAGAATGAGGGGTCATAGGGCTAATTCCAATTGAGAGGTTCCTAGACTGGGAAAACACCCCCAGTCATCATCCATTTGACAGGATTTTCCATGATTTTCCCTAACCATCCAGCGATAAAGGGGTACCCCCATTTATGGAAACCCCCAAGATACATATTTTACGTATATGGATTATACATACATTATAGAATTGGTTGGTGGTTGCATGTTACCAATAGCTGTGTTTGTGGTTTGCCAGATGCGGATTTGATGGTCCTTCTAAGCTTGCTTCTCCGTTTTTATCAGATCCGTAGCCAGATTTTCTCGCCCTTTTTTAGCCAGTTTGACTGGTTAACAAGCACCCATGTTGATGTGTCAGAAATCGGCTGACTTTCCTTGAGAACAGCATCAAAAACGTGGCTTTAAACAGCCATTTTGAATGGAAAAACCACCGGAACTGCTTCGAGGGCACACCCAGTTCTGGCACCAAATCCTCCAATTTGGCAGGAGTTGCTTGGGCTTAGTGGGAAGCAAGGAGACCAAGGAGCATCGGGTTCAACAGGCGATTTTTTAAATCCGGAAATCCACCATGTTTGCATGTTTTGCAGAAGATATCAGCTTTTGATGCATGGTTTTCTGCCAAAAGTGGTGTACTGCGGTCGAAACGAGGTTGACAGAGGGTCTGAAAGATCTTGGAGGTTTCAAAACCAGATGTTCGCATCCCCAGTATTATCAGTATTCGTCATATCCCCATTGCTGTTTTCAACTACTAATTCTTGGATGAATCTCCATTGGGGCATACATTAAATACATTAATATGTATATATATATACGTATATTAATATTGTTTTATTATTCCTGTTGTTATTAGGGAATGATGTAAATATTGTTTTAGACGTGGCCCCAATGGCAAGGCGACCAAAGATGAGAAGAAGGGTGATGCCATCGTGCCGTTGGACAGGTCGGCAAAAAAGCAGAAAACAACGAGGGATTCCCAGTTGTATTGAAATTAAACATCCATACTTCAGTACATGAACGACCCACTATGTTGTGTTGAATGTGAACACCAGTACCAGTACATGAACATCCACTCCTAAGGATCATAGCAAGGGACCTTTTTTGGGGCGTTGGTTCCTACGGATTGATTTTTGGTTGAAATCCCCAAGGGCTTGATGTGAGCTGCCTGAGTAGCCTGAGTAGCTGCCTATTTGAGATGATACTTTTGGGATGGAACATGATAAACTTGTTGAAGCAGTTGCTGACTTGCTATGACTGTGCTCGAAATCATGGAAATCTCGCAGGCTGAATGCACCCTTCTCACCATCCACCAGTCCACGCTCTGTATCTTGGAAACATGAATCAACGTTGACCATCCACCGAAAAAAGTGGCTGAATTTCCCAACTTCCCGGCATCTCTGAGGGACTCACTGGAGCCATCCTCAGCTACTCCGAACCCAAAGGGTCTGCTTCTCAGAGCCATGGAGATGTCGGGGTCAACGGCTGAATTCTGACGACGTCGCAGATATGGAGAGGATATACATTCGATACATGCTGTGTGGTTTGTCAGATATGTGAACATAGTTGCGTGTGTGATATTCGTACTTTTTTTTAAACACAGCAAATGTCCAGCCAGAATCCGTTGACAGATCTTGACAGATCTTGACAGATCTTGATACAAAAGGGAGCTTTAAAATGGCAGCTATATGGCAGCTATGGTCCATGGTGCTGAGGATGTGGTTCAGTTTGCTGATGAATGACATGGGACCAGTGCCCAGAGAGGAGCTGGATAAGGTCATTGCACACCGCTGGACCTTCCAGGGTAACTCGGAGCATCGTACGATCATCGTCCGGCGGAAACATTGGTAGCAGAAATAAACTCATTAAAAATCTACATGGTAACCATGGAAAATCACCCATCTATAAATGGACAATTTTCCATGGTTATGTTAAATAACCAGAGGGTAGCATTAGATCCATTATTGGTAGCATTAAACTGATGCTGTAAACTGTGATCATCTGTGATCTATCCTAATAATCTATCCATAGATCTAAACATATTAATCGTCATGCTAAATGGATCTAAATGGATCTAGTTATGGTGAAAGAAGCCATGATGGATATTCTTGGTGGATCTGGGGATTATGGACTCCTCCAAAAATCAACCAGCAACGAACAAGGGCAACGTGCAGGAGACAGTGGAGGGCCCATTTATAGATGATGTTCCCATTAAGACCTCCCTTTATGGTTGGGATTTTCCATAGCTATGTTAAATAACCAGATGGTTTTATGAGTTGAGATAGTTGAGGTGCTTTGGAATTGGCAGCGTGCTGCTGGCTTGTCTTCTCACGTTGAAGTGTTGCGCGATTTTCTCGAAAACATGTCCTGCAATGCGTCAAACAGACATCCCTCCTGAGACGAAAGAGTTTGGATGATGGATGCCATCCGCCTGGGTGCAGATAGGCAAGGCAAAAGCATTTGCTACTTCATCCTGCCAAAGCCTCAAAGTTGATGGGAAAATCAGGTCGTAGGTCAACTCTCCAACTCGCTTTTACACTCTCAGGTGTTTGCTTGAAATCCAGAGGAACATCCAAGTGGACCAGGCGAAGCATGTTTCGGTTGCGGAAATGGACTAGCCTCGTCAACACGGCTGGAAATCCTTGTGGCGCCATGGAGGTGTTTATATGTTGAATGGGAAAAGCATCGAATTATAGCTGGTGGATTTTCAAGGCATGTTTCGAGGGTAAATCCCAAAAGAAGTCACCATTTACAGTGGTTACCCTCTGATAATTTAACATAATTTAACATGCTATTGAAAATGGTGGATTTATAGTGGATTTACCCATTGATAGCATGGTGATTTTCCATAGTTCGCTATGTTTGTTTGGAGGGTAAATCCCATTTCAATCCTCTTTTTATCGGTCCCCCGCCGCCAGGAGGAAGAGGTACTGAATGCGAATCTCCTGGAAGCGTCTCCCTGGCGTATTCAAATCGATAAAAATGTTACCCTCTGGTTATTTAACATAGCCATGGAAAATGCCCATTTATAGATGATTTTCCTATTAAAACCTCCATTTATGAGGGATTTTCCATGGCTATGTTACATAACCAGATGGTAGCGAAATTCCATCAGAAATACCTCCTATGTGGTTTGAAAATGATTGAAAAGCCCCTTTGATTGGTTCAATCCTGATTTCTGGGGAATTCTCCATCTTCCAAATGTCGATTTTGGCTGACTCAAGATTTGCCATTTTGTGACCCGAATCAGGTGCAAAACCTTCGTACGTTGTCAGTGCCGCGAAGGGAAACCTGGTGAGATGTACCAGGCACTTCTGAAGCAGCCACACTGGTGGGCCCAGTTGTAATATGCTTTGGACTTTTGTTGGGATATGGAGGTTTCCTAAAATAGGAATGCCCCAAATCATACAAAGTTGAAGGTATTTTAGTATTGAACCTATGGTCAAAATGGGATCCCCAATTTTAGGAAACATCCCATATGTTCCGAGATGGGTGTCTACCGTAACTTTTTTACATGATGGTTGCTGTAAATGTTCACTGCAGAGATCCGTGCTGTGAAATTGTTGTTGCTTTGCCGAATCGCTGCTGAGCAGGTTTTATCACATTTCATCAGCAACTCCCATGTGTTCTTCGAATGGGAAAAGCGATGCTGTCTCTATTGATGCTGGATTGGCTGGATTGGAGTGTGGACAAGATGAAATTGCACGCCTTTTCTAAAGCATGGGACGGAATTTTGTTTGCCAAAAAACATGGATGTCTCCTGAGCCAGGTTTCTGACGGGTATTTTTCAAGATTCCCGGGCACATCAGGAGGCTTTGGCAGCCAAAGGGGCTGCATCTCAACCTGTCCTTGCTTCACCATGTTTCACCTGGTTCTGATGATGACCCTTCAGTACATTCCCATGTCACAAAAAGGTGGGCGAAACATGAGTAGATGAATAGAAATTTGCTGATACATATATATATATATACACATCTTTCACAGATCTGAATCTACAACTGGTCACTTCGATTTCGCGCACCCGCCAGCGCTTTCTGGTGATGCACCTGGAACAAGTATGGTCGAGGTACAAGAGGCCTGGGAGGAGATTTGTCGGAAAATGGGACCATGTTGGGATTTTTTTTCACAAAAGGTAGATGTTCCGTTCCATGATGTTCCATTCATGAAAAAAATGCTGATTTTGGTGTTTTTTAGATGTTTATCAAGAACTTATGAATATATATTGTTGACTAAATTTGTGGTTTAGTGTGTTTGTTTGTTGATGCGCTAATTTTTGACGAAAATGTTGTTGGTAGATCTTCCATTCGTGAAAAAAGAGAGGCTCTGGATTCAGAACACCAAGAGATCATTTATTCCTCGACAGATTCCCCAGCCATGCGGCCGCGGCACGCGTGGACGGAGGTTCACCACAGTTTTAGAGAGCATGTTCGACTACCTGGATGACATCTTTACCTGGCGTCATCGATTGCCCAAGGCACGGCAACGGGGGGTCTGAGTCCAACACAGTGATTTTTCACTCGAAACTCCCCCCTAAGCATTTTGGGGCATTTTGGGGCGGTGGAAGCAGATGGTCACGGGCTCAAATCCTGCCAGGTCTCTAGGCAATCTGTATTCAGCATATCAAAATCCCATATAATCCCATCATCTTTCCAGGCTTAGCTTTCGTTCACCCCCCCTTGGGCCTCAAGTCATGGCTTAGGAAAGTTGGGAACTGGGAAACCACATGGAACCATCCGAAAAAAATGAGTGAGTTAGGGGAACCAGAATTTTTTGTTGTCAAGTGACAGGGGAGAAATTCTTCCACCTTCCAATTGTTTCAGGTGAGCGAATTGATCCGAGACCATATGAAAAGGCCGAAGGGTGGGCGGCCTGGTCCATTGGGGTTAAGAATCCGTAGGATTTGGAACAAGCTGGAATAAGTCGCCAGAAAACAGGAAAATCTCACCGTATGTGTCACCACTTTGGGTGATACTGACATATGTTGGCCCATTTTTTGAAAATGTCGAGCGGCTCAGGAGATGTTTTTCTTCGCCTCTGGTCACAAAGAACGAGTTGTTCACATCACAGGCAGCAGTGGCAGATAGCAGATCTCAGGATGTGGATTTTCACAACCGGGAGGTCTTTTTTTTGGATGGGATTTTCATGTTCTACCCTTCTTTGTCCTGGGAAAAATATCGGAACTACGTGCAGGTTTAAAAAGGGAGATATTGGGAGAAACATACATCAATAGGGGATTTCCAACAAGCCATGACACCAGAAGGTAACAGGTTTTTTTCAACAACTCCGAGGCAGTGCGCGACGAAACCTTGAAGCAGGTGAGATTTGCCATGGGCTTCGTCCTCTAGATGGCTATGCCTGGCTATGGCTAGCCAAAGATGCCCCAAGTGATGGAAGATGATTTCTAGAAATATCCTATCTATGACTTCTTATAGAAATATCCAATCATAGAAATATCCTATACATATGTATATATATATATCCTATATATTATTTTATACATGATTTTGATGTCAGATGTCCGAAATGACTTGGAAATTGGTCCACTGCTCCACGCCGTGTGCGAAGTTGCCGGTCGCGGTTGCGGATGTTCTCGGCCAAGCCGCGAAGTTTCCCTGAAGTCCCGACCTGATGCAGAAATTGCGAAGAAAAAAACGTGTTTTTTTTCGTGCAGAAATGGGTGGTTCTATGGGGAAATAAGATATTAATTAATGGGATATTAATGGGATTAAATGTTTTTGGTTCTATAATAAGATATTAATGGGTATATGGGGATATAAATCATGGGATAACCAACTGGATATGATAGGGATGTGTCTGAAAATAGGGAATAGCCACCAATGGCCACGTTTAGTGTGGGAAAAGGGATGATACTCCATTGGAGTTTTGCGGTACCCAATACCCCTAATTTTAGGGCCCATATCCCAAATCCAACCAATGGTTGGGGTATCTCCCTTCGAAACGTTGCATCCTTTCTCAATGCTGCTGGACCTGCGGGGTATATGTTGCGGATTTCAGCCTGATTGATAGATTAAGACGTAGGTATACAGACAGATCTACAAATAGGAAAGATCTAGAAGATAGGTTACACAGAACAAATTGACATTGAACTAGATGTGAATGCCCTACATTATGTGACCTTACAGTAAGATGCATCAATATTCGGTTGGCTTAGCTAAGATTAGATGAAAAACCCGACAGACATACAGGCAGATAGGTCGGCAGACAGGTGGAAAGATAAACACAAAAACAACCCGGCGGAAGCGTTACCGGCGTGCGAAAATGATCAAAATTACTACGTCCTCGCAGCGAGGAGCCAGTTTTTGCATTCAAAACCGATCAAAAAAAAGGTCCGTCTACTTTGGGAATGACAACCCTTCCATCACTTCAGCCTCAAAAAGGGCAACCGCAACTTTTTCTCACATTGAAGATCATAGAGCGTAGCATCAAGTTCATGTGGAAATGCCAATGAAGATCATAGAGCGTAGCATCAGGTTCATGTGGAAATGCCAATGACGTTATTACCCCACCCCACCCCACCCCACCCCAGACTATCGGATGCGGATGTGTGGAATTGCAATTGAAGATCATAGAGCGTAGCATCAAGTTCATGTGGAATTGCAATTGAAGATCATAGAGCGTAGCATCAGGTTCATGTGGAAATGCCAATGAAGATCATAGAGCGTAGCATCAAGATCATGTGGAAATGCCAATGAAGATCATAGAGCGTAGCATCAGGTTCATGTGGAAATGCCAATGACGTTATTATCCCACCCCACCCCACCCCACCCCAGGCTGCCGGATGTGGATTTGTGCGACGGTAACGAGTCCATTGGCAAAAACAAGTATAAACACATTCAGCAGCAATCTTGATCTTAGTCAGCCTCCTTCGTTGAGTCCGCCCATCGCTGGCTTATCTTGACACTGGGGGCCATGCGGGCTGTCAAACTGAAGTTGGCCATTCTGGGCCTTCTGACTTTTGGATGGTGCCTCGCTAGTGGAACCATATCGGTGAAGATTCAAGTTGCAAATGGACCTGTCCGGCCTCTGAACCATGATTTGGTTGCCAAAAAAATGCTCATGATCAAAGGTTTTGGCATTTCAATTCTACATCTAACCGTGGGCGCTGTTCGCGTGGACTCTGCATTGCGAAGCGGCCGCGCAGTGGAGCTGGCATCTGAGAATATTCTTGCCTGCGCCGTGCTCGTGTTCTCTTTAGTGGTCATGACACCAGCAGCGCTCTACGCCATCCGCTACATTGCAACTCATGATGCCTCCGAAATTTTGGAGCAGCCTGCCAGGGACATAGAGACCGGGCTTGACATGATTGACCAGGAGTGTCAAGATGCTGGAGAGCTTGCTGGCAGCAACACCACGCACGCAGTAGCTGTCACCCCGCCTTGGCTTGAACCTCTTCACGCGCGGCCTAGCTGGATGCATGAGCGCCAAAGTCGCAGGTTTATGGCCCGTCCTGTTTGCTGGAACGAAAGCTTTGATGCAGCATTCCTTGGCGTAGTGACAGAGGCTGAAGTTTTGGGATCTGGCTTTGGCGGAGTCGTCCGTGCCGGCATTGTGGGCGAGCACCAAATTGCTTCGAAAGAGTTGCACAGGGACGACGAAGACGAAGAATTGTTCAAAGAAGTCTATGTGGGCCTGTTGGTGCCGGCGTCGCCCTACATGGGATTTGCTCAGACAAGCGAGGGCGCTCCTCGGCTGATATCTGCGCGGCTTCCTGAGACTGTGGCTGAATTCTTGGCAAGGGCTGTTTGGCCTTTCGACGTCCGTGTGCAGCTTGCGATTGGAATGCTGGAGGCCGTGGAGCAAGTTGCGCACTTAGGATTGGTCCATTGCGACATCAAGCCCAGCAACTTCATGTTGGATGAAAAGCTCAATGTATATATCATAGACTTTGGTGCTGTGACTCTGGAAGGTGGTCTGCCGCCTATGTCTTGCCAGCTTTACGCTCCTCCCGATCAGATAGTCACTCTATCTTGGGAAGTGTTTTCAATGGGCAGGGTTTTTTCGGAGATCTTTGACGTGGATGTGGCCCAGGCAACGCGCACTGCGGAGGATACTGCAGCGCCACTTGATAAGCTGGTACCCCGCATGTGCAGCGGCTTGGTTTCTGAGCGCCCTAGTTTGCACGAGTGTTTGTCTGTGCTCCGAGTCCAGCAACATGTTTCAATGCTGCGTTGATTTGGATGCAGCCAAGCCTGTTACCGGCTCCCATTGCAGTTTTTGTCGACCAAGGCCTTTCTGAAGGAAACGCGCCTTTGTTTTGGCATTTCTTGGAAAATGGATTTCTGCAACCCTGCGCTGATTGAAACCAAGTCAGCCGTCAAAAAGCAAGGTGTCAAGAGCGACTTTGAGCAACGCTTTAAAGGGAGGTTGTGCCGGCGCGAAGGGGGAATCAACAAGCACTTGATTGTTGGGTAGCTTGGAGATGCTCATTTTTTCCCGACAGTGGCTTGATTCTCTGCTCACAAGGTTTAGCATGATATCATGACTACAATGCGGAATCTCATCATGGATGACACATCTACACCTGCCCGTGAAATGACATCTTTAGGTGTTTGTTTCCAGGGTGGACGGCCCTTCCGGTCGCGGAAATGGCAATGTCTACAGCATGGGCGGTTCCAAAACAGGCCTGGTCAAGATGTCGGCAGGGATAGACTTGACTCAATGCCCTGACACAAAAAATATTGATGACTTAAGCACACTTAAGCCCTCAGGCAACACGAAGTCCTAATGTTTCGGTCCCTGCACAGGTTCGCGCGGTGTCATCTGGCAGCAGCTCGAGACCCATTCTGGTGTGAGTTCTGGTCGTTCAACTTGCCATGTGACACACCTGGGATGTCCAACAAATCATCAACAAATTGCGTGAAATACCCTCTGGTAAACTAACATAACTATGGAAAATCACCATGCTATTAATGGGAAAACTCACTCTTTCTATGGGCCATTTTCAATAGCAAACTGTTAGTCATTACCAGAGGGTATCTCCATCAACGAACTATTCAACCAACGATTCAGGTGAAATCCAACACTCGTCAGACATTTCCCAACAGCCTGGCTGGTCATCAAGCTGCATTTCAACCGAGGGCCAGTGGCTGTGAAGCGAAGGACCCCAGCTCCAAGATCGGCCGCAGGGCAGATCTTGACAGCTTCAGTGGCCACTTAGCGGAACGTCTACCCTCTGGTAAACATACAAAACCAGCTATAAACTATGGAAAATCACCATTTATAATGGGTAAATCAACTATAAACTATGAGTTATATATACCCTCTGGTAATGACTAACAGTTTTCTATTGAAAATGGCCCATAGAAATAGTTGATTTACCCATTGATAGCATGGTGATGTTCCATAGTTATGTGGCTGTTTACCAGAGGGTACTGTTCAAGCAGTGATGGTGCAAATCCTGTCCCCCAAGCTGATCCACATGTCGATCTCTACCAGGTTTACCACGTGTCGTCAGATAGCATCACTAACACGTTCTCAACACACTGCAGCTCTCAGGGCAGCCTGCTCGCATGCCAAGCCGCAAGGTACAGTAGGCTACGTTGTCATGGCTGTGGTGGATGGTTTCAGCATGATGATGGCAATCCTCTTGGGTTTTAGATACAACTTGGATGATCTCGAAATGAGATGGCTTGCATTGCCCTTTTATATCCTTTTATTAGAGTCTTGCTGTTTGATATCCCCATGTTTCGCTGGTTTCATGAGTGTCGAATCCTCATCGATGGTGAACTTATCTTGAAATGTCAAGTTCCTTCCAAAAACTCATGGTTGAGTAGCAGACTAGTTCAATATAGTTCAATATAGTTCAACATAGTTCAATATAGTTCAATATAGTTCAATGTTCAGGTTCCATATGGTTCCATGAATGGTGTTGATGACATGTTAATGTCCTGCCAGATCACGCGCTCGCAGAGACCGAGCCTGTCGCGTCATGCGTCAGGCGCTGGTGGAAATTTCTGCGGCACTTTTTGTGGATAAGTTCTGATAAGTCCAAAAAAATCGGGAGATGCCATGTAGATACTGAGAAATTTTTGGTGTCCATCACTGAACTAGTTAACTAATGAAAGAATCCTGGATTGATCCAAGTACTCTGAAAAAGCCAGATACCCTTATGAACCTTGACCTTTATTGCCACATATAGATCAACTAACATAGACCCGGGCAAGCTGGCGGCGGAAGTTTCCCAAACATAAATGACCTATAGTTCAAAGACAAACCTGTCCCGACCGTGTCCTTCCCTCGACAACCGTTTGATTTTTTCAGCGAGAGACGAAGCAAAGTCTTCACACTCCACACTCCACACTTCACACTGCACTCTTCGCACTCCAAACTTCAAACTTCACACTCCACACTTCACACTTCACAGTCCACACTTCACACTTCTCACTTCCCACTGCTTCCTTCACACTCCAAATCTCACACTTCACACTTCACACTTCACACTGCGCGCTTCGCACTCCAAACTTAAACTTCACACTCCACACTTCACACTTCACACTCCACACTTTACACTTCTCACTTCCCACTGCTTCCTTCACACTTCACACTTCACACTGCACTCTTTACGCCCCACACTTCACACTGCTCTAAACCTACGTGCAACAAAAAAACGGATCTCGATGCCAAAACGCAAAAATTGCATTTGCCAAGCTTTGGAGTTTGCAAGCAGGCAAAATCCGAAAAAAATTGCAAGCAGGCGATCTGCAGAGACTGAGTTGCAAAACACAATAGAACTACGCACAACGGCGTCGGAAATTGTAGCTCCAAAACCGAGTCGAGCTGCAAAAGACAATAGTATTACGAATGCTGCCACAGCACGAATCAACCTTGACACAGCCATTACAATGCGATCAGCAGAGACTGAGTTGCAAAACACAACAGAACTACGCACAACGGCGTCGGAAATTGTAGCTCCAAAACCGGATCTCGACGCCAGAGGGAAAAAAAGACGATTTTGAAGCACTTTTTAAATGGATTTTTAGAAAGAATATCGTTAGCGCCAAAATGGAGAAAATCTGCTAACAAATCCATTTCGCAGCCTTCATGCAGCCACTCCAATACGATTTCCGAGATCCAGCTGCAAAAGACAATAGTATTACGAATGCAGCCACAGCACGAAGCAACCTTGACGCAGCCATTACAATGCGATCTGCAGAGACTGAGTTGCAAAACACAATAGAACTACGCGCAACGGCGTCGGAAACAAAACCGGATCTTGACGCCAGAGCGAAAAAAAGACGATTTTGAAGCACTTTTTAAATGGATTTTTAGAAGGAAAATCACTAGCGCCAAAATGGAGAAAATCTGCTGACAAATCACTGTCGCAGCCTTCATGCAGCCACTCCAATACGATTTACGAGATCCAGCTGCAGCTGCAAAAGACAATAGTATTACGAATGCAGCCACGGCACGAAGCAACCTTGACGCAGCCATTACAATGCGATCTGCAGAGACTGAGTTGCAAAACACAATAGAACTACGCGCTACGGCGTCGGAAATTGTAGCTCCAAAACCGGATCTTGACGCCAGAGCGACAAAAAGACGATTTTGAAGCACTTTTTAAATGGATTTTTAGAAGGAAAATCACTAGCGCCAAAATGGAGAAAATCTGCTGACAAATCACTGTCGCAGCCTTCATGCAGCCACTCCAATACGATTTACGAGATCCAGCTGCAAAAGACAATAGTATTACGAATGCAGCCACAGCACGAAGCAACCTTGACGCAGCCATTACAATGCGATCTGCAGAGACTGAGTTGCAAAACACAACAGAACTACGCACAACGGCGTCGGAAATTGTAGCTCCAAAACCGGATCTCGACGCCAGAGCGAAAAAAAGACGATTTTGAAGCACTTTTTAAAAGGATTTTGAGAAAGAAAAATCACTAGCGCCAAAATGAAGAAAATCTGCTGACAAATCACTGTCGCAGCCTTCACGCAGCCACTCCAATACGATTTACGAGATCCAGCTGCAAAAGACAATAGTATTACAAATGCAGCCACAGCACGAAGCAACCTTGACGCAGCCATTACAATGCGATCTGCAGAGACTGATTTGCAAAACACAACAGAACTACGCACAACGGCGTCGGAAATTGTAGCTCCCAAAAACTGAGCTGCAAACCGCAAGCCCATTTACATTGCGAGAACGATCCTACAGTTGCAAAGCACAATGGAATTCCATCGGCAACTCATCCACCAGCACCACTTGCAATCCCATTTACATTGCGGGAACGATCCTACAGTTGCAAATCACAATGGAATTCTGTCGACCGCGCATGCACGAAAAACACTTGAAACCCCATTTACAATGCGGAACCGATCCGACCATGATCCGACCATGATCCGAGAATGATCCGACCACACACGAGACCGTCTCGCACCCGTCGCACCGCAGAGGTAGATCATCGACGTTCGGGGACGCACTTTGTCTGGAAAAACACAGGGTTTCGTGCATCTGCTATCTCTCAAAAACGCATTTCGTGCGAGACTTCCTTCAAAACTCCATCGGCAACTCCTCCACCAGCACCACTTGCAATCCCATTTACATTGCGGGAACGATCCTACAGTTGCAAATCACAATGGAATTCTGTCGACCGCACATGCACGAAAAACACTTGAAACCCCATTTACAATGCGGAACCGATCCGACCATGATCCGACCATGGTCCGAGAATGATCCGACCATGGTCCGAGAATGATCCGACCACACACGAGACCGTCTCGCACCCGTCGCACCGCAGAGGTAGATCATCGACGTTCGGGGACGCACTTTGTCTGGAAAAACACAGGGTTTCGTGCATCTGCTATCTCTCAAAAACGCATTTCGTGCGAGACGTCCTTCAAAACTCCATCGGCAACTCATCCACCAGCACCACTTGCAATCCCATTTACATTGCGTGAACGATCCTACAGTTGCAAATCACAATGGAATTCTGTCGACCGCACATGCACGAAAAACACTTGAAACCCCATTTACAATGCGGAACCGATCCGAGAATGATCCGACCATGGTCCGAGAATGATCCGACCACACACGAGACCGTCTCGCACCCGTCGCACCGCAGAAGTAGATCATCGACGTTCGGGGACGCACTTTGTCTAGAAAAACACAGGGTTTCGTGCATCTGCTATCTCTCAAAAACGCAGTTCGTGCGAGACTTCCTTCAAAACTCCATCGGCAACTCATCCACCAGCACCACTTGCAATCCCATTTACATTGCGGGAACGATCCTACAGTTGCAAATCACAATGGAATTCTGTCGACCGCACATGCTCGAAAAACACTTGAAACCCCATTTACAATGCTGAACCGATCCGACATGGTCCGAGAATGATCCGACCAGGTCCCCAAGAATGATCCGACCACCACACGAGACCGCTCGCACCGTCGTCCACCGCCGTAGGTAGTCATCGACGTCGGGGACGCACTTGGGGGGGGTGGAGGCTGGAAAAACACAGGGTTTTCGTGCATCTGCTATCTCTCAAAACGCATTTTCGTGCGAGGACTTCCTTCAAACTCATCGGCAACTCATCCACCAGCACCACTTGCAATCCCATTTACATTGCGGGAACGATCCTACAGTTGCAAATCACAATGGAATTCTGTCGGCCGCACATGCACGAAAAACACTTGAAACCCCATTTACAATGCGGAACTGATCCGACCATGTCCGAGAATGATCCGACCATGGTCCGAGAATGATCCGACCACACACGAGACCGTCTCGCATCCGTCGCACCGCAGAGGTAGATCATCGACGTTCGGGGACGCACTTTGTCTGGAAAAACACAGGGTTTCGTGCATCTGCTATCTCTCAAAAACGCATTTCGTGCGAGACTTCCTTCAAAACTCCATCGGCAACTCATCCACCAGCACCACTTGCAATCCCATTTACGTTGCGGGAACAATTTCTTTGACTAACTCGTTCCCTAACGAACTCTTTCTTTGCTAACTCTTTCTTTGCTCTTTCTTTGACTAACTCTTTCTTTGCTAACTCTTTCTTTGACTAACTCTTTCCCTCACTAACTCTTTCTTTGACTAACTCTTTCCCTGACTAACTGTTTCCCTCACTAACTCTTTCTTTGACTAACTCTTTCCCTGAACGACTCTTTCTTTGCTAACTCTTCTGTGACTAACTCTTTCCCTCACTAAAACTTCCCCCTTTTTTTTTTGCTTTGACTACCTCATATATCCTGACAACTCTTTCGTTGACTAACTCTTTCCTCACTAACTCTTTCTTGACTAACTCTTTCCCCTGACTAACTGTTTCTTTGACTAACTCTTCTTTTGACTAACTCTTTCCCTGACTAACTTCTTTCTTTGCTAACTCTTTCTGTGGCTAACTCTTTCCCTCACTAACTCTTTCTTTGACTAACTCTTTCCCTGACTAACTGTTTCTTTGCTAACTCTTTCTTTGACTAACTCTTTCCCGCACTAACTCTTTCTTTGACTAACTCTTCTTTGACTAACTCTTTCTTTGACGAACTCTTTCCCTGACGAACTCTTTCTTTGCTAACTCTTTCTTTGACTAACTCTTTCCCTGACATTCTAAAAGTCCGTAACACGGAAGTTTCTCCCCCTAAACTTCCTTTGATGATCAACTAATAGCCAGCAGTGGTACGGAACCCTGCACCGATCTCAGGCAGATCTGCGGTTCAAAGTGGGCGACAGGGTGGAGTCGGGGAGCCCAGAAATGCCCATGAAAAATGGGCCAACCTGTGATGTCATGAAAAATCTCAGGAATGTCAAGCAAAAAAATGCGGAAAAGCATGGATCACCAGCACAACTGGCATACTTCGGAAATCATAGATATGTGATGTTATGTGTGGGTGATATTCATCCTAGTTCAATGGGTCCGGAGGTGTTGCTGTAGAAATAGTGGAAGGATTGAGGAGACTTTTTCCATGGCGAGGATTGACAACTTCGTTGACGAAAACATTCTCTGAAACCACCATCAGTTTTAAGCGACAGTCTTGTATCTCTACAGATTGGCAGATGAGTTTGGCTTCCAAAATCCATCAGTTTTGAAATCTGAGATCCCAAAATCCCAAGAAAAACCTACAGTTTTCCTAGAAAAACCTGATCCAACATCCGTTGCACCATCTCAGGTGCTATGTGGATGGCTTCCAATCTGGTACCATCGTGAAGCTGCGATACCACGAGCCTGGCTGGCCTGAAGAGAAGACAGTGCCATATCAGGCGGATCTGTTTCGGGTGTAAAAAAAAAAGTTTTGGAAGGCTTAGTGGGTGTCCCACATCGAAAAAGTGTGGATTTTTTCCCAATTTGAATCCGAACATCAGAATTGCCTCGAAAAGTGGAAAAGATATGGTAATTCACGGTGATCCTGAAATGTCAGAATTGGTTAGGGACAATCCATTTCTTTAAAAGGACGACTGGGTTTCCGCAGGTGAAACTGGACATGGGGATGACCATCTATGCGCCACTGGATAGAGATGACTGCATTCGCAAGGCTGAAGGCACAACCCTGAAATGCTGAGATGGTGAAGTGTTTTTCAATGAAGAATTCATCAACTTAATCAGACTAGCAACAATCATCATGGTCAATGTTTTTTTCCAATTCTGACGTTGCGAAGAATTTTTTCCGGAAAAACTGGAGAATGTGGAGCACCGTATACCATGGTTTTTCCATGGTTTGTATCATAGTATCCGTGCAGAAATCCATCGTCAGGTTCACCAGATCCAAGTCATAGCCGTGCATCGAATGTGATGACCTGCCAGGTATTTTGGCAAAGGGAAGGATCCCGGTGACCGCCAGCCCCTCAGACTTATGGACGGAAATGACATCGCTGAATTTTGGGTTCAAAATATGGCGTCTGAAAATGTGGTGATGTAATGGGATATAGTGGGATATAGGGATATAAAGAATGGGATAACCATGGATAACCAACTTTACATGATAGATATGGATGTGTCTGAAAATTGGGAATAGCTGCAAAAACACAGTTTGGGAAGGGATATGATGATACAGCACTGGACCTTAGCAACCCAGTTGGCCATGGCTGAAATTTGAACCTTGAGGTGCTGACAGGTTTCTTGGGTGCTGGGAAGACAACTTTGCTGAATTACATTCTTCGTTCTCAGCATGGGAAGAAGTGCCCTGAAGCTCTTATGGCTACAGCCATGGGTCAGATTTGTGAGTAGAGATGTGAACAGCCATGACATTGACATCATTGGCCTTGTTATGAAACTCCAAATGCTGGTAAATGATAAACCAGCCCCAAAAGTATAGGAATTGATGGCTATCACATGTTTCACCTGACTTACAGCATCCCCTGAGAGACATCAAGTGCCAGGTACGCAGTGATCGAAAACGAGTTCGGCGATGCCGCTATCGATGAGATGCTTTTGGAGGAGGGTGCTGGCAAGCAATCCACGATGGAGGTGCAGCTGTTGGTCTGTGAGAATTGGCCTGATGTAATGTCCCATGGTTCATCAAAATTGTTGAAGAATTATAGTCCCAAGTCTGAGATGATAAGACTTCAGATGAGAAATTGATGCAAGAATCTGACATGTCAACATAATTTGTCATGAGATTTCATCAGAAATGTCCATATCGATGAAATATACATATATATAATCATATAATCATATATATATATACATATACTCATATATATATATATTATATATATACTTATAATTATATATCTAGCTATCATAGATATGCCATTTTATTTGAAGATATTTGGCATGTTCCGGACCCCTGGATGCAGTCCGTAACCGTCCTGGACAACGGTTGCCTTTGCTGCTCCCTCCGTGATGACCTGGTGCTGGCGATCCGTGACCTTGAAAAAACTGGCAGAATTTTGGGGGAAATCATCAGTTTCCCATATTTATTTCCTATGGAAATTGACACCATAGAGAATATATATATATATACATACACCATAGAGATATATATATATATATATACGAATATCATGATTTTCCCTATGAAAATTGGATGTTTAGAACATGTCCGATGTTTTACCATATGAAATTGACATCAATGGGATGTACATACCATATATAATACCGTCATGTAAAATCTTCCCTGAGAAAATTCACATAATTTTGTTTACCCAAAATCCACATTTTATGAGAGTTTATGTTTAGAGAGAATTTCCCAATTGTCCATATCAATATTAACATCCATGGGGAAAACATAGATATACCAGGTGTTTAAGACACACATGGCACACCAACTTGGGAAAAGTGTTCTATGAATCTGGGCAATGTAATGAAAAAGTCTGAGATATAAGGATGAGTACTTGGGAGTGTAGTAGGGTTCATCCAAGGTAATATCGTTGACACGGTGGAGGATCGACTGGCACGCGGAGTCCCAGATGCGGTGACCCACGACATGTTTTGTTGATGACTTGTGGGGGATGGTAGAATTTGAAGAAAATCTAAAAACAATTTGATAAAGGATATCCACTATATATATATATACACATGGTATAATGGATATAGTTGGTGGATGGTATATTTGCTGAAGTGCTACTTGAATAGGATATCCAGGATACCCACAAAAAAAAAGGTACACAAATTGAACAATCTTAGGTTTTTCCCCATTAGATTGATCCTGTTTTTGTTGATTTTGTTGTCTGGTAAATTCCAATGGGCTGGGAGTCAATCTATCAATAGTGAAGTGTTGGGAAGATCACGGGTCAGATTGGGGATTCGAACTTTACTGTGTCCAGAAATTGTCGGAAGCAGCACCACACTGAAGGGGATGAAGGATGAATCGTTGGATTATGGTACTGTACCTCAAGATCACGCCCGTCAACATGGGTGTCACATCGTTATTTAAGCATGACTATTCATCACCAGCCATTAATGAATATGCATTGTCAGTAGCTAACGGAGGTCAATTGCTACACACATCGAATCACATCGATACATGATCTTACTAAATGTGATCATTATCATGATCATTATCACTATGAGTTTGATTATCATCACTGGTTATTGATGTATTATAGTCATCTTTATTCAGTGCTACTCGTTGCCGTTTATGATATTATATTACTTTTGATAAAAAAAATAGTGATCAGTATCGCTTCTCGTTGTTCTTACTAGCAACAATAACTATCACTAATTCATTACATAATTACATACTATAATCATTCATTATTGAGTGTTCAATATTCAGATTATTCAGTGTTCATGCTCAGCATCACTGTTATTACTATGATTTGTAAATTACGGACTATAATATGTTTGATTGACAGGTGTGTCACGCAAAAAAAACATGGCTTAGTTTCCCATACTGAGGGATGGTCATCAATCGATGTGTGGATTTCCCAGGAAATGGTATGACCAAAAGCTACCATGTATCGACCCATGACGCACACGTGTTCTTTAGTAAACATTCACTGTTGTTTTACACCATTTAATTTGAGACCATAAGCATTTTTTCACTTTTTCGTTTTTCATAAACACATGTTTTTTGTTTTTCAGTGTGAAAACCAAAAAATCCCATTTATATCCCATTTATATCCCATTTATATCCCATTTATATCCCATTTACATCCCATTTATATCCCATTTATATCCCATTTATATCCCATTTATATCCCATTTATATCCCATTTATATCCCATTTATATCCCATTTATATCCCATTTATATCCCATTTATATCCCATTTATATCCCATTTATATCCCATTTATATCTCATTTATATCCCATTTATATCCCATTTATATCCCATTTATATCCCATTTATATCCCATTTATATCCCATTTATATCCCATTTATATCCCATTTATATCCCATTTATATCCCATTTATATCTCATTTATATCCCATTTATATCCCATTTATATCCCATTTATATCTCATTTATATCCCATTTATATCCTATTTATATCCCATTTATATCTCATTTATATCCCATTTATATCCCATTTATATCCCATTTATATCCCATTTATATCCCATTTATATCCCATGTATATCCCATTTATATCTCATTTATATCCCATTTATATCCCATTTATATCCCATTTATATCCCATTTATATCTCATTTATATCCCATTTATATCCCATTTATATCCCATTTATATCCCATTTATATCCCATGTATATCCCATTTATATCCATTTATTTATGATCCCATTTATATCCTTTATATCCCATTTATATCCCATTTATATCCGCATGTATATCCCATTTATATCCCTATTTATATCCATTTATATCCCATTTATATCCCATTAGGATCTCATTTTTCCACATTTAATATCCCATTTCTTCCCATTTATATCCCATTTATATCCCATTTATATCCCATTTATATCCCATTAATATCCCATTAATATCCCATTAATATCCCATTAATATCCCATTTATATCCCATTTATATCCCATTTATATCCCATTTATATCCCATTTATATCCCATTTATATCCCATTAATATCCCATGTATATCCCATGTATATCCCATTTATATCCCATTTATATCCCATTTATATCCCATTTATATCCCATTTATATCCCATTTATATCCCATTTATATCCCATTTATATCCCATTTATATCCCATTTATATCCCATTTATATCCCATTTATATCCCATGTATATCCCATTTATATCTCATTTATATCCCATTTATATCCCATTTATATCCCATTTATATCCCATTTATATCTCATTTATATCCCATTTATATCCCATTTATATCCCATTTATATCCCATTTATATCTCATTTATATCCCATTTATATCCCATTTATATCCCATTTATATCCCATTTATATCCCATTTATATCCCATTTATATCCCATTTATATCCCATTTATATCTCATTTATATCCCATTTATATCCCATTTATATCCCATTTATATCCCATTTATATCCCATTTATATCCCATTTATATCCCATTTATATCTCATTTTTGGATGTGTTTCATAAACTTTCATAAGCCATATACATCCACGTTACCGACGTTACCGACGTTACCAACGTTGCAGGCCTTGGACGGCATTTTGATCGAGACCACCGGCATGGCAGACCCGGGACCCGTGTGCAAGACCTTTAACTTGGACCCGGTGGTCAACAAGTGCCCCAAAAACGTTACCCTCTGGTTGACAATTGGATTGAATAGGTTTGACAACTTTGGTTTATGGTAGATATATCAATGATATATCATTATCTATAGCTCATAAAGTTTATACCCTCTGGTAAACAGCCACATAACGAACTGGAAAATCACCATGTTTAATGGGTAAATCAACTATTTCTATGGGCCATGTTCAATAGCAAACTGTTAAATTACCAGAGGGTAGGCTGGGATAGGGATAGGGAATCTGAAGTTTGGCAATGGCGAGAATTCGAGAATTGAGATGATGTTTTGGAAAGACCATGGAGATCTTAGAATAACTCAAGACTCAAGTTGCCCTTTTTTCAATCTGTAGGTACTGCAAGATTGATGGCATCCTCACTGTGGTCGATGGAGTCCATTTTTTGGATCAATTGGCACGGGAGCGACCAGAGGGTACCGCATGGATCCCCAGTGGAAGGTGTGCCCCCTCTGGTAGTTGGATGATGTTCGCTTTCGAACACGAAAAATATAGAAAGGATGTTCCCAGGAAATCATCCCATTGTTTTCATCCATTTATAATTATCGATGATGTTTGGAATGAAACCAGTTCTCGAACTAAAAATCCCAGTTATCCACCAGTTATCAAACTAAAATCCCATTTAGTTATGATATTGTTGATGATAACCTCCCAGTTATCCACAAAAACAAAGACCTGACCGTCGCGGTCGAGGTCAATGAGCCCGCTCAGCAAGTGGGCTTTGCTGACAAGGCTCTGCCTGACCTCCAGCGAAAAAAAGAGCAGGTCGTATTTGCAGGTCATATCCTATGTCGGTTCAAATCCAAAAAACAAAAAAGTCAACTGGAGTTGGTTGGAATAATCGGGATATATCGGGATAATAAAATTCCATCTGTGATTATTCAAATGTCATTTCTTGGACCGCGATTATTGGATAAGCACTCCCATGGTAAATCATAATAGATCATAGTGATGGATTCATGATACAATACAAGAATGCCGGGAAAAGAAAACATGTGCCTTGATACTTCCCATTACTTATCCAAAAAACATTAGTCAATGCCGGATTAATTCTATAATTCTCCAAACATAGTTACTAATTACTTGAGGTATCCAGACAACAAAACAAAAACGTGAAATATGTTGAACAAACTGGATGGCGCTCTGTTGAACAGATGTTGAACTAAGAAACTCTGGAAAAGAAAAACAAACATACCCGTAACACAATAGCCTTGTCATGGTTTCTCTGGTAAATCCCATGAATATTACATAAAAGTCATCCCAAAAAAAGATGCAAAGTGAACGCCATGAATTCCATTCATGGAATTCCCTCAAACAAAGATTGTACACCATCCCATCATTTTTTGGTATAGATTCCATCCAACAAACAGTACTAACGTGGGTTCAGTTCGATGAATTACGAAAGCCATGAAAACCATCCCCAATTCATCATCATTTGGGAGGGGCCTAAAATAGGGGTACCCCCAGTCATCATCCATTCTACCCTCTGGTTATTTAACATAGCCATGGAAAATGGCCCATTTATAGATGATTTTCCCATTAAAACCTCCATTTATGAGGGATTTTCCATGGCTATGTTAAATAACCAGATGGTAGATTGACGTTTTCCCATTATGAACGATCCTGGAATGGGAGTATCTGCAGTATCCCCATTCCAGGAAAGCCCCATTGATCTGGCTTTGAAAAAATCCCACCATTTGGAGTTTCAGGTGCTGTTGAACAAAGTGGATGCCGTCAGCCCCGCGAAGCTGAAACGAACCAGTGAGGCCATCCGTTCAGCGCGGAGGCCCGGGTTTCATGAAGGGTCATGGAGAATTCATGAGGATTTCAAAGCTTAAAAATCTGATTTGGCAACTAGGGTCACTAGGTCACTAGGTTGCGGTGAAGTTTTCTATGCTTTGGAATGATGTATTCCTTTTTTCTTGTTTGAGGGAGTGCTGAAGGGAAAAAGAAACGGTCCAATTCGTGCAAAATCATCATCATTAACCCACCTGAAATGATTGAGAACGCAAAAACCAAAAAATTTACGGAGCGGAGCAAGCAAGAGCAACCTGAGCTTGCGACCCCACTGCAAATATGGTTCTTGTTTTGAAGGATTCTAAAAAACAAACATATGTTCGCTCATGTGGATGATCTTGAATAATCTTGAATGATCATTTGCCCAGGATTCACACGATAAAAACTACTCAGTATAAGGGTAAACATTGGAAGAATCTTGAATAATGATGAAATTTGCCAGCCTTAAATCCCAGATGCTCCATGCGTCATACATTTACCTACATTTTGGTGATTTTGGGGGGATAAGTGTTGACTTAACTTACATATTCCATACATGAAGCATATGGGTAGAGTTTCATGATGGAAACTTCAGATCTCTGATTTCACCAAGGTCAATGCCTTCGCGCCCATTGTGGAATGCAGTTTGTCGCTGAAGCCCGATGCGGTGCCAGTGCAGGCGTCTTTTTGGGATCCAAAGATATTGGCTGAAGGATACTCCAACTATCAGCCAATCAGAGTAATTACTTACAAAATTGGAGTGTGTGTTTACCATTTATGCCATTTATGATGTAAGTAAGACATTTCGATTCCTAAACTCAAGGATCTCACGAGCTGAGAATGATCTCGATACTTCACCACGATTAGAATCTCAACCAGGACAGAAACCACAACAGAAAAGCGGTGGGAAAATGACCTGAAGCTGCCTTCCCAACAGCAGGACTTAGTGGAGATTGATGCCTTTGATGCCACCAAGCTGTTGACAGAGGAGAGTGAGCAAGGTGGGGTGGCTGCTTTAGTGGCTGGGGTGGCTGAAAGATGTGTCAGAGATGATGGTTGCGGTGTTTGCATCGGCGAAATCATGGCAGCTTTTTCGGGTATCAATGCTCACCGGAAAACATGATTTGAAATTCCGGAATTCCATATACCATCATATACCCCATATGCAAAGCCAGTTTCTGGATGTTTCTGGTTGCAGGTGAAGTGGACCTTGCTCACAGTGGTCACAGCCACAGCCAAAGTCATGAAAGTCGCGATGGTCACAGTCATGGCGACCATGGCGATGGAGATTGCCACGATCCAAGCTGTACAGATTCATCGCACGGCCACAGCACCTTGGTTTGGGAGCTCTTGGGAGGAGCTTGGGAGAAAGTAAGCGGCAAGGACACTGTGACCAACGAATACCAATCAAAACTCAGCGAAAGTTGTACTTTCGATGTTCAACACGAGGTCATGCCCATGCCCACGATCTGGACTGCCATGATCCAGACTGCCAGCAGCCTCAGCAGCCTCAGTTCTCCCATCTTTTTCGCGATGTTTTCCAAAAACGCGACGCGGAGGCCAAGACCCATCGCATGGACATAGCCATGATGCACAGACCCCTCATGACACGGGGATCAGCTCAGTCGTGCACGACTCAGATCAAAGCTAATTGGATTCCAATGGATTGGAAAAACCAATGGAAAATCAATGGAAAATCAATGGAAAATCAATGGAAATCCTAAAAAGGTGAATGCATGTTGGGAAATCTAAGTTGTCATGATTTGTCCATTTCTTAGCTATTTGGCTGTGACCTCAAGTCGAAAAAATGTCGAGGCCCAGCTTTCAGACCTCTTGACAGGTGTTGGAAGTCAAGGATAGACCACTGGATGTCCAGAGTACCTTGGCGTGTTTGGCGTGTTCGGGCTCTTCCAGGGCTGGATAGATATGTCCTTTTCCAATTGTTTCTTTAGAGGCTTCAGGTTTTTTAAACCAATTAAACCACCATAACTAGGGTTTATTGGGGATCTAACATGATATAACATGATATAACTATGGTATATAACATTATGTTAGTATGGTTACGTATAGCTCATGGCTTTATAAACCAACCGACATTTCACTGGGGGGGCCCTTGTGCTAAACCGCCAGGCTTTAACGACTTGTTAGATGAGCTGCTGGAAAATAGTGTGGATCTCTACCGAAGCTTGCCGTTGAAGCGGGCATGGAAGTCACAGAAAATCTGGGATAATCCATGGATAATCCATGGATGGGTGATGTAGAGAGGTGTTGATATTCCGATTGGGGAGGTGCTCCGTAAAAACGGTGCCCGTTGTATTCCATAATATTCCATATCCGGATGCCAACACGTTGACATAGTTGGTTGGTCAACTTGGTCAACTTGTTATTTTCAGTCTTTCTTTCTGGCTTCAAGGCTGAAAATAGAGCCAAGATCATGGCGAAGCCCTGCTTGACTCCAGGATTCTAACCAAGGGGCTTAGGGATACATGAGACCCTGGAGAACACTGGTGTTGCAATTGTTTCCTTCAGAATCTTAAACATGTTTTTTTACGACTAAACCAGGGTTGATAGCCAGCCGATGGATGTTGATGATGGGGTAATCCTTGAGGCAAATGTCATTCATCAAAAAATCTACGCAGAGCTTCAGGGGTGTCGTGATTGCCATGACAATAACTAGCCGGTGACTACCCGACTAGGCACTGCAAGTCGTCCGCTTGGCTCACCATTCAGGTTTAACCAGGGACCTCGAAGGTTGTTTCAGCGAATCAAAATTGCTGGGGGGGATCTCCAAGTATGCGAAATACCCACATAGTTCCATAGTGGATCCAGCTAAAAAAGTACTATTCCCTGGAGGTTGGATAATTGTTCTCACATTTCAAGGGTGATAGTTGAACCAGGATGTGATCCCATTTGACACGTCAGCTGGTCGATTCCCCCAAGGATACAAGGGCATCATTGCGTTCGAAAAGGAAGGCACAGTGGTGCGCTATGTGCTGCAGGGAGTTGGGGGTCTCAGATTGGAAAACCACCGTGTCTCCACGGATTCTGCATGATCAGCTTTGAGGTGCACGACATGCTGGATATTGCCTTCTCCGGAGAATGGCCCGCAGAGTACGCAATGGCATGTTCGAGAACTGGGCGATTGATTTCTTCAAAGGATCTGCAGGAAAACCGAAAAACCCAAAAAAACGCCCGTTTTTATCCAAACAAACCATTGCAGCTTGTCATTGCAGCTTGCTAGGAAGCCGCTACGTACGCAGGCGCCGAGCTGTAGTGTGTCTTGAATAAACCATAAAATAGCTGTTGACAGTATGCTGGTAGTTTTCCATGGTTACATACAGAGGATTTTCCAGAGTTGTTCCCATGAAATACCTCGTTTTCCCATGTTTTCCCTACTTTTTCGCATGTTTTGAAGCCTCTGTTTTCAGAGAAAGGTGGTCCTCATCGGCCGGCACTTGGACAAGGACGAACTGCAGGAGCGCATGAATCGTTGCGCCTTGCTACCAGACACCGTCTGAGGAAAAAAAAACGAAAAAAGAGCGAAAACTGCAGGAAGATGAGATGAAATGATGAAGAATTATGAAATATGATGAAGTTTGAAAATGTTGTTTGGGGACGTTGAAACGATACGACTTTACGGATTTTGTTTTGGTCCAGAGTCCAGACACGTTAGATATAGTCTAGTGCAAAGTGTCAATGTTGAGACAATCGATGATAAAACCTTGCATTTTCTGAACTTTGGGCTCAGTTTTTTTAGGAAGTCAAAATGACCAGCCGCACCAGCCATGGCCAAAGTCGCCGGGGACGGACGTTGTTGAAATGCGTGATATGTGCACTTGGATTCTTGGCATTTCAACCGGGGGGCTGCTGCTTCTTCAAACTTTGACCAGTTTGGCCATTTTGGAGACGTGTCGAATCTATCGATGAAATTATGCAAGTGTGATAGCACAGCCACATCCACATACATCCACTAGCCATGTCTGCAGCATTTTTCTTAGGTCAATGTTTAACCGAGGTATTGCCTGGACACCTGCCTTCAATGTCACAGAGGCCGAAGTTCCACCCCTTTTGGATATCATTCGATGCTGTGTTTGGATGATGGGAGGCTAGCACCTGCTGTGTTCCAAACAGAGTCGCAATGCAAACTTTGAAAAATATGTTGTTATACCAGTAGTACCGCACAAGGCGGTGGCGGAAGTTTCAGAATAGGAAATCTATAGGAGACGTTGGTTGTTGTGAATCACGGATGGCAGAGCGAATCCACTGATTGACCGAAAAGTGTGTTTGCTGGAGTGGTTGCAATGGTTGCAGTGGTCACCTCACCCACAACTGCTGGATGTAGCGTGATGTACTGCAACTGTAGTTGTAGTTGTAGCGTAGTGGAGTTGTAGTTGTGGTGTAATGTAATTAGTGTAGTGTAGTTGCAGTCATATAGTTGTAGCTGTAGTTGTTTTGTAGTTGTAGCTGTGGTTGTTGTAGTTGTTGTTGTTGTTGTTGTAGCTGTAGTTGTTGTGGGGTTGTAATTGTTGTGTAGTGTAGTTGTAGTAGTAGTTGCTGTTGTAGTTGTTGTAGTTGTTGTTGTTGTTGTTGCTGTTGTTGTTGTAGTTGTAGTTCTAGTTGTAGTTGTTGTGTAGTTGTTGTAGTTGTAGTTGTTGTAGTTGTAGTTGTTGTGGTTGGTGTTGTTGGTGTTGTTGCTGTTGTTGTTGTTGTTGTTGCTGTTGTTGTTGTTGTAGTTGTAGTTCTAGTTGTAGTTCTAGTTGTTGTGTAGTTGTTGTAGTTGTAGTTGTTGTAGTTGTAGTTGTTGTGGTTGGTGTTGTTGTTGTTGCTGCTGCTGCTGCTGGTGTTGTTGTTGTTGTTGCTGTTGCTGTTGTCGTCGAAGTTAGGGTAGTTAAGTTAGTGAAGTTAGTTAAGTTGGTCAAGTTAGTTAAGTTAATCAGTGTCTACTTTTTCGACATCTTCACGTCAAAAAAGGCTCAAAACCCTCAGTTTTTTTACACTTTTGACTTCGAAATGTGCTTCGCGCCACAACGGCGTGCACTTTTTAGACACTTTTTCGACATCTGAACCTCCAAAAGTGGTCCGAGAATGGTGTGTTTTGTACATTTTGACTTGGAAATGTGCTTCGCGCCACAACGGCGTGCACTTTTTCGACATCGCAACTTCCAAAAGTGGTCCGGAGCTGAGGCGTTTTGTACATTTTGACTTGGAAATGTGCTTCGCGCCACAACGGCGTGCACTTTTTCGACATCGCAACTTCCAAAAGTGGTCCAGAGCTGAGGTGTTTTGTACATTTTGACTTGGACATGTGCTTCGCGCCACAACGGCGTGCACTTTTTCGACATCGCAACTTCCAAAAGTGGTCCGGAGCTGCGGTGTTTTGTACATTTTGACTTGGAAATGTGCTTCGCGCCACAACGGCGTGCAATTTTTCATCTCTCATCTGGCCAGCTGGCTCCGCACCCGCCGCTTTAGCGAGCCTACTTTTCGACCCACCGGAGCCACAAATCATTGGAAAAGCACAGTGTTTCGCGACTTTCCTACCTTTTCGCGCATCTGCATCTTCTTTCTTCTGATCTTGTCTCTTCTGACTCTTCTCACCTCTGCTTTTCAACTGTCCATATTGTCGGAAGTTTCACTTCTAAACTTCCTTCGATAAGTGATATTCCATTGGTTACTCTCCCAAAAATATTATGGAACTTGGCCATCCCTTATTTTTCCATAGAAAAAAAGGTCCAGAAAGGGTTGAGTCGTGTCATGTTCCACCCTTGCTCGGCTCAGGGCAAGCGGCGATCCATGGTCGTGTCGTTTTTTTCGCTTCTCCCAAGCACTGCGATGGCAGCGATGGATCCGAAACAGCAGGTGACTGCTGCGATGCAGAAGGCTGGAAAATCCCATTGGTTTCATACAGAAATGACATAGTAAACCATAGTAAACCCAATTTTATACATATATAAACCCAATTAATTATATATGTATATATAGATATATATATATATATTATGGTACCAATAGTACCAATAGTATGATCTCAGATGACTTTTTTTCCCAGAACACAGCTTCGATATCTTTCGATGTTTTTTCGTGGCAGTTGGAAGACTTATGTGACCCCGAGTATTACAAGAAGGTGGCATCAGGAGGCGGTGACAACATCAGGCCCGGATGGGTTCATGAGTCCCAGCGTTAGATGATGGTAGTTTCTACGGCTAATTCCTGATATTTACCGGTGAAAATCCATGGTTTCGTGCAAAGTCTTGCCCTTCCAAGATTAACCCATGAGATCACAAAGAAATTGGATACATCGGCAATATTCCACAATATATCCATGGATCTCCAATTTCTTCAAATCGTCAATGAATATGAATGTGGATATCCACCCGGATATCCACGTGGATATCCTTCAAATCTATTCAAATCTTCAGTAAATCCTCATGTTTTCAAAGACGACATTATCCCATCCCACCATCGCCAGGCGGGAGGTGGGCACCGTGGGCGTCACCTCGCCCTTGTTCGACGTGGACAAAGCCTTCAAGGCCCTGGCAGAGGAAGCCGAAGACCCGGAGGCCTATGTGGAGCTGCTGGAACGCTTCACTAAGGCCGGCCACCGGGGGATGGGAAATGATGGATGAAATGGAAGGAATATTAATTAGTTGATGGTGAATGGAAATACTAGTTGATGATGAATGATAGTTGATGATAGTTGTTGGCAATTCTATGGTATGGCTGATCTTTACCATGATATTATCATAGAGCTGCCGGTTTTTCCTCCATGAAAAATCACTTGTTGTTGATCAAAACCCTTCAAAATTGATGTATTGATGTAGAGACAATGATGTTTTAGGTGGATTCTTCGGCATTTGATAAGTGTGAATCAGAGGTTGGTGGAAAGCAATAGGTTGATTATGGCTGATTTTTGGGTTGCTGGGTGATCATCAACTTGATTTGGGATGGATCAAAACCCATAATTTATTCCATATTTGAGGGAATGAACAAACGAACATCCAATTTATGCCATAAATCCCAGCTATTTTGGGGTTTGACGGGTTTGACCCCCCATTTCTTTTCGCCAGGGAATCACCCGGGCCGATGCAGACGCCTACTCCAGCATTTTTTCCATGAATTCTGCAGCTGCAACTTCACCCCAGGCCAGATCGATGGTCAGTTTTGCTAGTCGCCCAAGGTTGTTTGTTGCTGGAATATACCAAGGAAATCCAAGGAATATGTTGGTTGACCATGACATATTTTTTGTGTTCTGATAGTTTCTTGATGTTTGAAGATTTTCTTTGGGCCAGGTCTACATTGATAAAGCATTTGAGGAGCTGCAGACGTGTGTTAAAATGGGGGGTCCCCAAGTCACCAAGGGTTTCAATACTAAACTAGTCTAATGATTTGGATGGTTTTGGGGGAACCTCATTTCAGGAAAGCTCCACTTGTCTTTTGAAATGCTGAAAACGGTTGGGCGTTGGAATATGTTGGAATCAAAGTGATGTCGCAGGAGCTTAAAGTTGCCAAAGCTGCTGCAAGGGAGCTGACCAACATGCTGAAATTGTGATGGCCGAAAACTGGAGCTGAGGCTGCATGGTCCGCAACAAGACAAACGGATGAAATTCTTTCGTGAAAGCTATGTTTCGGCTCAAATATTCAACTCCAAAATGGCCGATGATGTTCAGCCTGAAGCATCAACTCAAAATGTCTTTCTGATTAGGTAACCAAAAGAAAATTCACGGCACAAGACAGACTCAGATGACTTTAGCAGATAGCAAAATAGAAATCAATGATGTTTGAAGATAGCAAGTGGCCGCTAAGTCTCCGCAGCAAGAATCTGATTACCCCAATCCACCAGATGGATCCCAGACATAGAAAGTGCAGCTTGTTTTTCGGTGTGGCCTGCCATGATCACAGACGCTGTACTGAACTCAGATTGAGGCAACAATTGCAGAATTTCAGAAAGGTAGGAAACACTGAAGCCGAGCCCAATTGCAAGCCCAAGTGTGAATTTGGTTCTCAGTTGTCGCCCCAGGATGTTTGGCTTGCGCGGCATTTGTCCGATTCCCAGCAGTTTTATTTCAGCCAGTGTCAGAAGTTTCCACGCCATCTTGCAATGCTGCGTGGTGTGGTCTCCAATGGCCTCCAATGGTCTCCAAACACTTCAAACAGAAGGGGAAGAGCAGCTATGTCGACGTGACCTATTCTTGGTGCATAAATGTGTTTTCCATTATCTGTATCATGTGGGAAGCCCAATAATAAACCATTCAACAAATTCAACAAATTCAACAACCATCTAACATCAGAAATGCATAGGTTTAACATGTTTAACAACCCTTAAACCCCCCATGACTGGTTAGGCAGCCCGAAGTCCCTCGACTCTGCCTGGGTGCTGGAGCTCTGGTGCTCTCCAGTGCCTCAGCACGGAAGCAGATTGCGATTCGTGAAGATCCTCCCGTCCAAGTCATAGGAATAACAATTTATGGATAGTAATACTATGGATAATTATTTATGGATAATTATTTATGAGTAATTATTTATGAATAATTATTTATGGATAATATACAATATAGTAAGCCATATTGATAATAATAACAATAACATGGATAATACTAATAGTAATAATACTAGTAATACTAATGATAACTGTAATGATAACGATAAACATAATATTGTTTTTAAATTCGGGACATTGGGGCATGTGATGTGGATTCCAATTTGTTCATTGTCAAACCATGTCAAACCATTTCTTCTGCGAGGGCCATGTTTAACCATCGAACCGATTGGTTGACAGTGCTTTCCATGATGGATAAAGGTTCTGAAGAATATAACCCGTTATGACCCCAAGCCCATCAACCAGCATCAACCATAGGTCGAAGGATATCGGAATCCAACAACCTATGGCTATGGCTGGGATGATTTGGGATTGCCATAGCCACAGAGGCTTTGTGAATTTTCGCACCGGAGCACAGCTGAAAACCGCCATCGAGGAAGGAGGCGCCGCAGCTGGGAAAGTTGACATTTAATGCATCTAAGTACTGGCAGCCACTGGTACAAAGAATCAGAAAGAATCTTGTTGGGGTTGATCATGATTTGGCATGCCAAGTAACATGTTTTTTTGTCACACCAAAGGGGCAGTGAATAGGTGGAATAGGTGATAGGACTGGCAGTTCTGCCTGCCACTTCCTCCAGGCAAGTCATCTGCGGTTCGAAGTTTGATGCTCTTCGGTTTGGGTGCCGCCGCAGGCTGTCCAGGGAACTGGAAGTGATTGGTGGTTTGGAAAAGTCAAGGATTTCTTAGGAGAAATTGTTTCTTTCTATCTTGAAAGACTTGAGATGACTTGAGATCGAGATCTGTGGCATCCAACTATATAGGTATATATGAGATATTATGAGATCATATATATCATATATATATATCATATATATCATATATATCATATATATCATATATATCATATATATCATATATATCATATATGTATCATATATATCATATATGTATCATATATATATATATATATCATATATATTGCGAATGGGAGTACGGTAAGTCTTCAATCCGTAATCCCAGTATACATAGCCATCTTTCCAAGTGCCAAAGGACCACCAAAACCGACGGTCCTTTTGGCTCAAGACCCCGTACTGCAGATTCCAAGCAGAAAAGAGCAATGCTGAAGCTCGCCTCCGGTTGACCATTGACAAACGCGAAACAGATCACTCAACTACGAGAACAGGGACACATCATAGGGAACGTCCGATTCACAGGTTATCAGCCGTAGGTCTCCCACGGAGCCTGCGAGCGGGTAACTGCGGACCTTACAATCAATGGCTGAAGAGGATAGTAGCGATAACGCATTCTCATTTGCTGGACATGCCGCCGCACCAGCTGCCGGCACGCAGTCAAATTCTTCACAGAGTTTCGATACTGGTGGAAGCGAAACCTCAGAACTGAGACCTAGCACATCCAGACGACCTCTGGTTGCCCCGAGAGGGAGATTAATGCCGACAATGCAAGCAATCGAAGACAGGGACAGTACACCTGGAAAGAGAAGATCGTCCGCACGACAATCGTCGCCTCCGACGACTCCGAGGACTAAGGCGAAGCCTACATCTTCGAATCCGCCTTCACCGATTCAGGACGCTACACCATCAGGAGTAGGATCTTTTCAACAAGTGAATGCTCCATCAAGTGGTAGCGATGTCTTCACTGCCTACCAGAGTGAACTATCAGAGTATAAAGCATCACTGGGCAGGGCTACTGAAGAAGAATCTATGCTTCAAGCGAGATTAACCGAAATGGCCGCCTATGCCGACCAACAATTCAACTACCTGGAGAACACCACTCATCATGAGATGACATCGATGGCTCGACAGCTTCAAGCCCTGAATTCTGAACTGCTCGCCGCACAACAAGAGGACGAAGGAGCAACTTACAGGATTGAAGAGCTGGAGAGATATCGAACTATGTCAAACGAAGCAGCATCCCATCTGGAACATCGATACTCACAATTGAGATCTGAATTCAATGAACAAATGGGACAAGCGAATGCAATCATGGTACATGTAGGTACAGATGCAAGTGCCCGCATCAATCAACTCAGATTGGAACTGGAAAACGCGGAGATGAATGCAAAGCAGGAAGCACTAGCTGTCGGATATGCCAATGACCAAACGTGTGCACTTCACATTGAGATGCTCGAGATTGCGAACCAGAACCAAACGATGAAGAGCACTATGTCATTGAACATCAGACGGTTGGAAACGGAGCTCGATTCTGCTGATGCGAAGAGGGAAGACATCATGAGAGAACTTCGTAGCGATCTGAGATCCGAACACAACAGATATTCCGAATGTGAACACCATCTAGCTCTGGAGGAATCACAACTACAGTTACAGGTTATCCGCAATGAAGGACTGCAATCACAACTGGCCACATCGGAGAATCGGTATTCTGAAGAGTTGACCTCTAAGGTGAGCGGGATGCGTGATATGAGGATCATGGAACTACGATCTGAACTACACATGAAACAAAGCCTTTTGGATCGGATGCAACAACAATTGACTGAATCGAAGAATCAGTATCATGAACTCTCGTGCCAACAAGCAAGACATGCATCTCCAAGTGTTTCTCCATCACATGGGATTTACTATGAGATGTATAATCAATTGCATAGTGAGTACGAGAAGGCCATCAAATACAAGGATGACGTTGACGCTATGCTGCGAAGGACTAGAGCTGAGCTTATCGACAATGAAGCACTGCTTAAGACCTATCAAAGCTCATATGATTCATTGGGAAAGAAGTACCAAGATGCTTTGGGAAGGATTGACTTCATGAGCAACAATCCAAACAATTCCAGTAATCTATTTGACGCTTTGCACAATGAAATCAGTGACAGAGATGAGGCAATCAATCGACTTAACACTGAAGTTGCTACACAGGAGGAATCCCTTAATCGTGCTCATCGTGATGCCGGTAAAGCTATCAGTATGCTGAATGATAGACGACTCATCATCAAGGGAGCAACAGATTATTCGATTCCTGAAAGTCATCTGACAGAAATGCACCATCTTGTCAGTGAACGTCAAACAGAGGTGGAGGAAATGTCGAACACCATCGCTGCATTGAAGCTCGAGAACCAGGCCGCTTCTTCCTCCGCACAGAACCTGCAAGCTATAATGTATGGATCATACAACAATGCTTTTCCCAGGGACGAGTGCGAAGAGAAGTGTGCCAAATTGAAAGCTGAACTGGAAGAAATGAAACAGGAGAAGAAGTCAGAAGTCAATGCTCTTCGTGACGAACTAAAGAAGATGGAAGAGCGAAAGGACTACTACAAGAATAACTTTTCCCAAGCTGAAGATCGTGCCAACGACGAAGAGCAAGAGTTTCGTGCCGAAGCCGAAGCTTTTGAGAAGCTCAGGAACGAATACAACACCAACGTCATTGAATTGGAGAACCTCGAAAAGGACAAATCCAAATCCTCTATCTCTCAGAGAGAAGCGGAGAAGATCAACCTACAACCTTGGCCTAAGACAACTGAACTTTCGTCTTGGAAAGGAAGTGTCGTTCATGAAGTTTGTGTTGCAAGTGGAGATAGACATTATGATGATTGGAAAGCGTGGCTGGCTCCATGTCTCACAGACCAGCCGGATTTGGAAACATTAGCCAAAGCACCTGAGGTGAGATTCCAATCCATTGATGCCAAGCTCTCCAATGCTTTGAGGAAAGTCATCGACAATGCTGGAGACAAGTCTATGCAAGTGAAGTATGACATGTCCATGAAGAACCAAATGTATGGGAAGAGTGGAGACTTCATTAAGGGACGAGAACTATTCGCAATGATCTTGATTAGCTTCAAGTCACCTGATCATACTGAAGTTCTCTACAACGCTCATCATTTGTACATGTTCAGCTACTATGGAGATGACCAACTCGAGGCCTTCTACAACAAGTGGCTTGACATCATATACAACATGAAACATGATGATCGGCCTTCTGCAAATTCCCTGCGTGACACATTGTTCCGGAAAATTGAACACTCAAAACTCATGCACTTTGATATCAGCCGGTACCGTACATTCGATGAAGGGCATCATGAGAAGACTTATGAATTCCTAATCGGCATGATCAAAGGATACATTGCCAGAGGGAAACAAGAAAGACTGTTAAAAGACAGGGAACGCGCAGTCAAGATATCGATGTCATCCAACAAAACTACACCAGCATTGGAAGATGACGTGAAGACTGCTGCTCCCACCAAAACCAAGAAGGAAGACGCTGCAGCCGCTTCATCCTCCGGTGATCCTCCCAAAGGGAAGCCGAAGGCTAAGGCGAAAAGTGAAGCTGCTTCTGTTCTTCCTACGCCTTCTCCGAAGTCTCATGCCGACAAGAACAAGAAAGGCAAAGGCAAAGGAGGGAAGGGAAGATCATCATCACCCACCGACAAGAAGAAGATCTTTTGCAACTACTTCTTCAATAAAGGTGGATGCAATAAAGGTGATAAATGTCTATACAGTCATTCTCAGAAAGTCTATGATGCCAAGATGAAGGATAAGAAGGGTAGAAGTCGAAGCAGAGATTCATCTGGAAGGAGGAGTAAGGGAAGTTCTTCATCTGCTGGACCGAAGAAGAAAGTATGCTGGCAGTGGCAAAAGGGTACATGTACTTTTGGAAGCAAATGCAAATTTCTACATGCAGACCAGTCACCATCAGCATCCTCCGAAAGAGCCTGCAACAAGGACAAGAAGAAGAAAGCGGTCCCCATTACCATTGATTCCTTCTTTGATAGCGACACTGAAGATGCAAAGGATTATTCCTCACCGAGGGTAGCCAGCGCAAAGAAGTCTTCTGATGTTCGCAAGATCACGTTCGACATGGAACCTGGGATCCACAAGATTCATATCAAGGACTACCCGGAGGAGTGCCCAAACGAATTTATCGTGACCCCAACAAGCCTTATGCTTTCAGGGAGATCGAAGATCTGACCGATGACCAGTCCAAATCTGACAGCGCATTAGGTCAAACTCGGGCAAGAGCAAAAGCTATCATCATGAAGAAAGATGGACTCCATCGTTATGTGGATGAAGTGAGGATTATCATTGGCCCGAAATTCGACATGCTGATCAAGTTGGATGGTGACAAAGAAGATCTGATTTTCCTGGAGGAACTTGTTGAACATGAAGCCGAAAGATCCCTCGAGAAGTCCAAGAATCTCATGTGCATTTCACTACCAGTACAAGCCAAAGATCGAAGATTCATTCTTGACTCTGGTAGCGGCTGAAAGAATGAACTTGAAGAAAAGGATTTGTGATCCCATTATGTTCCACACTGCGAACGGCTCAACTGCCACCCAAACAGAAGTCGAAATTGATTTGGGAACCTTTGACGAGATCTCACAAGCCTACGTCCTTGACGACACTCCATCAGTAATGTCTCTTGGAAAGCGATGCATGGAAGAAGGATACTCCTTCGTGTGGCCTTCCGGTAAGATGCCATTCATGATCACAAAGGACGGGGAACGTATTGATCTGACGATTCATGACAACATCCCCTACGTTGATCTTGGAACATACGAATGCACTCCATATGAATGCCATCATACATCGAAGATTCATGATCTACTTGGACATCTTCAAGAGTGTATCGACAACTTCGATGACCTAGATGAGATAGGCCAAGCATCTCGAAGAGTATATCTGGACGGAGAAAGTGGGTTTGAGGTATCAGTTGACGATCAAAA